CCAAAATACCACTGATTACTGAGACCTACAGACTACACTGGCCACTTGTCTCTGTGAGAGGTAGGATACTGTTCATCACTGTTTTATCTTGTAACATATTGTTGTATATTGATTTTGATTTACAAGTCATTTATACCATGGAACATTTGAAGACAGATACTCTGTATAAATATACTGTATCTATTACATAAGATCATTGGTACCAATTTCTATTGAATGAAACTTTAACAAAACTTCTTTGAATATTGTTTGAATGTTACTATATTTAGAAGTTTTCAACTTTACATGTATAGCATATATACAGCTGTGATTAAATTGGCCGTGTTCTTCTAATTTTAAATCGTGACAAAATCCTAGGTCCTCCTGACCAGAACGCCAATAGAATCTCCTTAAATTAAACTAATTAACAGAACTCTTTTCTTAAACTTTAGAACTACATACAATTATGTATATGTTTCCGCTTATGTTGTACACACCAGGTTCATGACTTAAGATTTAAAAACATGACATGTTTGTTAAGGGAAACAATACAGTCTCTTTATAATTAAGTTTCTTTATATTTTAGTAGATTCTCCCTTTTATACACTGAGTTTGTAGCAGACATTTCAGACTTTTTAACATTGTTGATATTCATACACTGATTCAAACCTTGAAACTGTTAACACCCGCTGATGTTGCTGGGCCTTATACAGAGGAGTTATCATCTAGTATGTCTGCATCTCTGAGAAAGCATACATGGGCTGTTTACAATAGTTTGGTTGTCATGACTCCAACCACAAGGTCATAGGTGATGCTGTTGTGGGGCAAATCTTCAATGACCTTTTTCTTTTCCTTTACTGTTGGTGTTGTATATATAGGATGACTTCAGTTGTTATACATGTACTCTGTATTATGATCTATAGGTTTACATGTAAAGGTAATATCTACCTTCATTTTAGGTCAAAGATCAAAGGTCACCATCACCATGATATAGGTTTACACGTAAAGGTAACATCTACCTTCATTTTAGGTCAAAGATCAAAGGTTACCATCACCATGATATAGGTTTACATGTAAAGGTAGCATCTACCTTCATTCTAGGTCAAAGATCAAAGGTCACCATCACCATGATATAGGTTTACATGTAAAGGTAACATCTACCTTCATTCTAGGTCAAAGATCAAAGGTCACCATCACCATGATATAGGTTTACATGTAAAGGTAACATCTACCTTCATTTTAGGTCAAAGATCAAAGGTTACCATCACCATGATATAGGTTTACATGTAAAGGTAGCATCTACCTTCATTCTAGGTCAAAGATCAAAGGTCACCATCACCATGATATAGGTTTACATGTAAAGGTAACATCTACCTTCATTCTAGGTCAAAGATCAAAGGTCACCATCACCATGATATAGGTTTACATGTAAAGGTAACATCTACCTTCATTTTAGGTCAAAGATCAAAGGTTACCATCACCATGATATAGGTTTACATGTAAAGGTAGCATCTACCTTCATTCTAGGTCAAAGATCAAGAGGTCACCATCACCATGATATAGGTTTACATGTAAAGGTAACATGATACCTTCATTCTAGGTCAAAGATCAAAGGTCACCATCACCATGATATAGGTTTACATGTATAAGGTAACATCTACCTTCATTTTAGGTCAAAGATCAAAGGTTACCATCACCATGATATAGGTTTACATGTAAAGGTAGCATCTACCTTCATTCTAGGTCAAAGATCAAAGGTCACCATCACCATGATATAGGTTTACATGTAAATGTAACATCTACCTTCATTCTAGGTCAAAGATCAAAGGTCACCATCACCATGATATAGGTTTACATGTAAAGGTAAAATCTACCTTCATTCTAGGTCAAAGATCAAAGGTTACCATCACCTTGATATAGGTTTACATGTAAAGGTAAAATCTACCTTCATTCTAGGCCAAAGATTAAAGGCAACCATGACCTTCACACCTAAAACTAGGTCAAAAGTCATGCAGCCATCTCTATGGGTGGTCAACTAGGCATCTTGGGTTTGATTCCCAGAACAGATGGTAAAAGCTATGGGGGTAACCTGTCAGACCATGTAGGTTTTTTCCCCAGAGAGACCCGTTGTACGCTTCTATCTGCCCACAAGAGTGATTAATATAAGTTTAAAAGCTTGTTGTTTGTTGTAAAATAACCAAGTTGATATTTAAATATTAAATATCACTAGATGGAATGTGTCAGCTCTAATATGTGATCTGTTTAAAACCTATTTTGATGTAACTGGTGAATAGTTGTAAATCACCTGAAAACAGTGTCATGTATATAGTGCTGTTACACCACTGGCTCTCAAAGGGCCTCATTGAAACCTGTACAAATGTTGTGATTTCTCTCAACCAATCTGTTACTGGAACAATATTGTCTCACTTGATATTTTCAGAAAGATCTTTAAAGTTTGCTATAAACATGTATGTATTGAGAAGACATTGAGTTGCTAGACAGAGGCAGATCACCACATTAGACCATCTGATCAGAGTTACCTCTAGACAGAGGTAGATCACCACATTAGACCATCTGATCAGAGTTACTTCTAGACAGAGGCAGATCACCACACGTTAGACCATCTGATCAGAGTTACCTCTAGACAGAGACAGATCACCACATGTTAGACCATCTGATCAGAGTTACCTCTAGATAGAGGTAGATCACCACACGTTAGACCATCTGATCAGAGTTACCTCTAGACAGAGACAGATCACCACACGTTAGACCATCTGATCAGAGTTACCTCTAGACCTCTAGACAGAGACAGATCACCACACGTTAGACCATCTGATCAGAGTTACCTCTAGACAGAGGCAGATCACCACACGTTAGACCATCTGATCAGAGTTACCTCTAGACAGAGGCAGATCACCACATTAGACCATCTGATCAGAGTATACTTCTAGACAGAGACAGATCACCACATGTTAGACCATCTGATCAGAGTTACCTCTAGACAGAGGCAGATCACCACACGTTAGACCATCTGATCAGAGTTACCTCTAGACAGAGACAGATCACCACATGTTAGACCATCTGATCAGAGTTACCTCTAGACAGAGGTAGATCACCACACGTTAGACCATCTGATCAGAGTTACCTCTAGACAGAGACAGATCACTACACGTTAGACCATCTGATCAGAGTATACAATGTACCTCCAATCCCCAATCTGAAATATCATTTATACCCTATACCCCACATGTCTCCATCCTGCACCCCTCAGACCCCCAATCCCCCCCATATAGACCCCCTTCCCTTGCATAAAAACAGAGAAGAGGAAACAAACTATTCCCACTTATTCTTCAATAAACATTTATCCACAGTTATTAAACGACCTGTTCACAGATAATGTCCAACTATTATCTACTATCCCCCACCCACCACTTTGTGTGTGTGACATTTGACATTTTGATATAGAATTGACCCTGCCTGTGGTCCAGCCATGTCAGAGGTAAATAAGATTATGAAGACTAGACTGTATACATCAGTGTGTGTTTCTATGGTTACTCTTTTTGTTACATGTAGTTTGTTCCTACTTTAACTACAGCCCTTAAACAACACCACAATATATTTATCAATATTAGATATTTTTTGAAGTTTTTGGTATGAAAAATTGGTATGTAAACTTCCTTTGTAAATTACTCTAAGTACATACAATGCCTTTAAATTACATGTTTTCTCTATAAAAGCTATGCATAATACATGTTTTCTTTCTGTTAATTGATAAAACCATTAATTCTGCTTCAGTGATATAATATTACCGTCATCAGCCAGTAACATACTCTGAGACTATAACATATAAAACTTCAAAATCAGTGTCAAATGGTCGGATCATTATACAACATTTACTTGTATTCATCCTAGTAATCTTACTGAAATTATTTGCTTGGATCATTCTTGGGAGAGATATTTGGATTTTACCTGCATGTTTTAACTGAAAATCTTAATAAATTTCTCAAAATGAGCAACAATACATAAAATAGGACAATCCTGGTCACTTTCTCCATCAAAGTCCTGAAAACTCCCATCATTCTAACGACCCAGAATTATATTCCTGTTAAGTATGGGTTAATACTTATTTAAGCACGCGTAGACTTACTGGTAAATAAGCGATTGTAGTTTTATTACTTCTGCAATTTGTTATTATTAGTTCTGTAATTTGTTGGATGAAATCAATACAGTAACTGGTCGTTAGTGTTAATTACATTATTACATGTAGCAATCAGAAGTGGAATTTTCATAATTTTGATTTACACACGCACACACAGACTTTTCACAATGGCATCCTCCTACTCACTAATACATGACAGATGTACATTATTTTGTTTTGTTTACTTATGTCCACCTGTTATAGATGCTATATAGGTAGGGGTCGGACATATTAAATCTTGTTAGCAGGCTTTCCATCTATACAATGTTTCATAATCATTTAAAAGATGTAAGAAATCACTATGACTGTAATATACAGATGTAAAACAACCCTTCAACACTGTGACAAAAAAATCAACAAAACCAAGGTATATACCATAGAATAAAAATTATAATTAATATTAATAATTTAACATACTATTTGAATTCTTCAAAAATTATTGACTTCATTCAATCGAGAAAATATGTAAAAGACTGACATGATGAAGGATAGTATAGATCTAGATATTCATATTTTTCCTGAAAAAATGTTTGATGAAATAAATTAGACACCTGTAAGGTAGAGTTTTTATAGATGTGAACATCTATACATTTATTATTACTAGGTAATACATAAATGGTGGTAAATTAGCATTATCGTCAGGGTAACAGCTGTTACCATGCTTCAGGACGTCGCCCTGTCATTATGTATATATCTCATAGAGACAGACAGAAAAGTGAACTTATTAATACCGTTTAACAGTAAAATGCCCATGGAGAAATAATTCAACAACCAGTGAACTGGAGCCGTGTGGAGGTCCGAGAAATAAGCCTCCAGCTTCAATATGAGTGAAACTACAAAGGAGAATGCAAACCTTATACCAGAAAAAGATGGGTTGGACAAGGGCATCACAAAAGTAGAAAAGGCAAGAAACAGGATGATTGCTGAGGGATATAAATATCAAGCCTTGGATGGAAGTCTGTCCAGCTCAGGCTCCGAATCTGACATCGGTAAGATGTGTGACATAGAATTAATTAGTGTGATTCTCAAGGGCAATATACCTTGGAATATTTTCTGTCCAACTCTGACTTGGACACTTCATTATACAATGTTTTTGATGATTTTTTTCCGACTTGGAGACTTTCTGGTTCTATGTGTGACAATGTTTTTATGAATTTTTTCCAACTTGGAGACACTTGAGTTATATTTGTGACTGTTTTTTATATTTTTTTCTGACTCTCTGGTTATTTGTGTGGGGATGGAGTCATATTGATCACCAAGGATTATAAATTTCACATAATTTGTTCATCCTGATCCAGCTGTTCAAACTTAAATGGTGATTTTTAATTGGATGATGAGATTTATTATATGAAGGTTTCTGAGTTAACAGTAATTTTTGTGTTTTTAAAATTTTTCGTTTGATCTTAGATTTACTATTACTTGACAACTGATACATTGTACTTCAACAAATGAATTACCTGAAAGGAGGTAGGAGGGTGTAGGTGTAGGAGGGGGTCGGTGTAGGAGGGCGTAGGTGTAGGTGTAGGAGGGGGTCAGTGTAGGAGGGGATCGGTGTGGGAGGGGGTTGGCGTAGGAGGGGGTCGATGTAGGAGGGGGTTGGTGTAGGAGGAGGTCGGTGTAGGAGGGGATTGGTGTATGTAGGGGTCGGTGTAGGAGGGGATCGGTGTAGGAGGGGTTGATGTAGGAGGGGTTGGTGTAGGAGGGGATTGATGTGGGGGGGGAGGGGGTCGATGTATGTGAGGGTCGGTGTAGGAGGGGGTCGGTGTAGGAGGGGGTCGGTGTAGGAGGGGATTGATGTAGGAGGGGATCGGTGTAGGAGGGGTTGATGTAGGAGGGGCCGGTGTAGGAGGGGGTTGATGTAGAAGGGGGTCGGTGTAGGAGGGGGTCTGTGTAGCAAGGGATTGGTGTAGGAGGGGATTAATGTAGGAGGGGGTCGGTGTAGGAGGGGAACGGTGTAGGAGAAGGTCAGTGTAGGAGGGGATTGATGTAGGAGGGGGTCGGTGTAGGAGGGGATCGGTGTAGGAGAAGGTCAGTGTAGGAGGGGATTGATGTAGGAGGGGTTGGTGTAGGAGGGGGTCAGTGTAGGAAGGGATTGGTGTAGGAGGGAGTCTGTGTAGGAGGGATCGGTGTATGTGGGGGTTGGTGTATGAGGGGGTCGGTGTAGGAGGGGATTGGTGTAGGAGGGGGTCGGTGTATGTGGGGGTCGGTGTATATGGGGGTCGGTGTAGGGGGGGGTCAGTGTGGGAGGGGGTCTGTGTGGGAGGGGATCTGTGTTGGAGAGGGTTGGTGTGGGAGGGGGTTGGTGTGGAAGGGGGTCGGTATATGTGGGGGTTGGTGTATGTGGGGGTCGGTGGAGGAAGGGTTGGTGTAGGAGGGATCGGTGTAGGAGGGATCGGTGTAGGAGGGGGTTCAGTGTAGGAGGGGATTGGTGTAGGAAGGGATCGGTGTGACTGGTACATATATTTAGATACCAACGGAGCACTGTTTTTCATGATACTTGACTTTGAATCCTTTGGAGCCAATAAATAGTAGGACTATGTTGTTCCCTGTTCTATTACAAACATTTGACTTCCTATTTTCAGATTTAGTGGTATTCTAGTAATAGATGAGGTAATCAATTTATTCATGTATGACTTTAAAAAGAAAACCACAAAAATTGGAGTGCCATCAAAATAAGGTGATTGTACTACATATTGTTACCAATAACCTTTAACCTGATTGCATTCATATGTTTCTTCCTGGATTTTTATTGAAGATGATGAAGGATGATGAAGATTAAACTCAAATTGGTTTCTAGATGGATATACTTTAGGAGCTTGATATAACATTGTTTGTTATGTAATGGTATCTTACTATAGTTATAGGCCAAGTAGATTAGTTGTTGTAAGGAACAGTCCAGATGTGAAATATAAACACTGGCCGGGGGTTATGTTGCTAAAGAAAATCTATTTTTAATAGCAAAAATAGAATAACTGGTGCAGCTGTATTGTATCATAATAAACATTTTGTTTTGTTTTTTACGAGAATAGCATATTTAGTACATGGCCAAAACATCATAATAAGCAAGAAATATGATATCAGCTGTTACAATAATAGATTAATAGCTGGCTCTAATGTACGTTCTAGGGAATGTTTTGCTGATCTCTGTTGTCCTTAACACAGTAACACTCAGTACAGTGAGATGTCACCAGTGACCACACATTAGGTAATAGATCAAAGGTCAAGGTATATTCAAATATTTTACAGACATTTAAGGTCAAAGGTCAAGGTCAAATTGAGATCTAAAATAGTGAATATTTTGTCATGCCAAACAATGTAGTGGAACATACTTATTTGAAATCAAATGAGAAGTTGCCTGATTACAGGTGAATATGACAGAGCCAAAGGTGAGGCTAGGTCAAAGTTGAAATGTCAATTTATATTTTACAGGCAAATTTTGTTTTTAAAGCATTAAACAAAAATTCTTCAATATGATATGTAACATTCAGGATAAGAGTCTATTTAGACACATTGAGGGGCCCTTTCTAATATAAAGTATGACAGTATATACTCTTAATCTAGTAGTTTATCTCGGTAGCACCCACGACTGATTGTGATTCTCAGCAAGCTGCACAGAAAAAGACTGAAATGTGATGTGTAATCTTGTCCTTGTAATAGGCAAGACTATTTACCCCTTTGCTGTGGATGGCCTGTGACTCTCCTGTATTATGTTCAGTGAGGTAGTCACCTGGAAATATCCATGGCTATGGTATGATGAACCTAACAACCAAGACAAACACCAGTGTTTAATCTTAAAGTTAGGGGAGAAATTGGACTCGTTAGAAAACAATAATACAAAAATTGTTTCAATAATATAAAAGGTGTTTGCATTTCCGTATGTTTACAGTAAGTAAAGGTTGATTAACTACAATTACTATTATGGCTAATTGCTAGTTTAAATGGTTTTTACTTTAACTGTTGTAATGTTTCTCTTGGGACTAATTTTAATAATTACTTTTTTGTTGACATCTGATTTCCTAGGTAAACGTAGCTCAGAAAATCTACTGATACATGTATTGATTTTGTCAGTTCACTGACATATAAATTGGTGAATTTGCCCACAAAATGAACCAAATCCCCTACAAACATTTTTGACTCTGCAGTATTGAACTTTCTTTAAACAAATTATGGTTTGAAATTGAAATTAATATTCAATATCTGATATGAATGATATGAGATTTTAGATAATGATATACCTTATCTGCATTCATATCAGCATGAATATTTAAAGATTATAGGTTTAATGCATAAATGTGTATGTACCAAGTATGTGTGGAATGTATTAACTTTTTATGCTTCATTTCTTCGTAATGTGTTATTTAAAAGTGTACAAGTTTCATTCTTCATACATAAATACTGCAAGTTTACTTAATTTAACACAATAAAATTTTAGCATGTTATTAGTTTTTGTTAGCCGAGTACAATTATAAAGTTGTTTATTAACTTTTATCGCTATATTTAAACTACATACTGAAGCTGTAACATGTATATTATAGTTCAGAAGAATATCATCGTTAAATAATTGTAGAGGGACCACAGTAGCTCTGTTGATTAGAGGCCTACGTAGTCTCAGGTAAATTGTGAAAATTTGGAGCTCACTAGCCATATGGTGGTTTGTTTCTCTGGAAACTAATTAGACTTGTTATTGCTTTTACATATTTGTGTCCTTGGGCAAGACATTTACCTTATTGCTCTGGATGTAATGTGTTGGGCCTCCTGTATGTTGTTCACTGAGGTAGTCACCAGCTACTACAAGGAGATCCTTGGCTGAGAGTTCAAGCAGCAAAACCTAATAAACAGAAATTGTATGTTTTTAAAAGCATGTACACAAAGTTTGCTGTCAATCCCAAAATTATATCTAGAAAAAAAATTTGATGTTAAATATTTTGTTGACCTTTTAAGATTCAACGAAGAAGAAGTCAGGAGAATGGAAACAGAGACATCAACAGTTCCTCTGTTTCCTTGTCTTTGCCATTATCCTGATAGCCATTTTGTCGAGTGTTGTCATCTGGCAGTACCAGAATCGGTATAAAGGAGATGGGGAGGTTTGTATTATCATCAGTTTACCTGTACAACAACATTCCAATATGTATTTATACTTAAACCTGTCAAATCTGATGGGACATATTGTGGTGTGGTATTGTTTGTATGTATATTTGACTTAAATTTTCATTTGTTAGTTTGATTTTACTCTATTAATGTCAGAATTGCTGCCCATTATTTTTTTATATTCATATTGGGAAATCTCCTCCCTCAATTTTCAACTAAACACTTTAAAACTCTGCAGGCTTATGACATATGAAGTTGTGGTTCCTTAAATAACCGTTTGATTCCAACGTATTTAGAAGAGTTACTGTCCATTCTATGTTTTTGATCTTAATCCTACCTAAAGATTATCTCTCTTAGTTTTCATCTCTGTTGCTATTGGTAACCAGGTGTGTAATACGTCGTCATGTGTGAAGACGAGCGCCTACATTCTACAGAAGATGGACACCTCCGTTGACCCCTGTAATGATTTCTATAATTACGCATGTGGTGACTGGATTAAAACAACAGTTATCCCAGAAAGCAAACCAAAATATGGAACATTCCAAGCCATTCAAGATCAAATCACTGAAGACCTTAAAAAGGTGAGGAGTCAGACCTCGGTTTGATGACACCTGTTATATTGTGAATAGGTGATTGGGCTGTATCCGGGAATGCATACATGTTATAAACATGTACCCGATTATTGTCTATATCATTAATGTTAGTTCGGTTTTTACAGTGATTATAGTCTATATCATTAATGTTAGTTCGGTTTTTACAGTGATTATAGTCTATATCATTAATGTTAGTTCGGTTTTTACAGTGATTATAGTCTATATCATTAATGTTAGTTCGGTTTTTACAGTGATTATAGTCTATATCATTAATGTTAGTTCGGTTTTTACAGTGATTATAGTCTATATCATTAATGTTAGTTCGGTTTTTACAGTGATTATAGTCTATATCATTAATGTTAGTTCGGTTTTTACAGAGATTATAGTCTATATCATTAATGTTATTTCGGTTTTTACAGTGATTATAGTCTATATCATTAATGTTAGTTCGGTTTTTACAGTGATTATAGTCTATATCATTAATGTTAGTTCGGTTTTTACAGTGATTATAGTCTATATCATTAATGTTATTTCGGTTTTTACAGTGATTATAGTCTATATCATTAATGTTAGTTCGGTTTTTACAGTGATTATAGTCTATATCATTAATGTTAGTTCGGTTTTTACAGTGATTATAGTCTATATCATTAATGTTAGTTCGGTTTACCTGTTTTTTTACCTGTGGTTCTCACCTGTACATGTATAAAAAAAAAACTTAGCCAAAAAAGGAAATAAAATAAAATAATTAAAGATGTAATATAATAGAAAAAGATATATGGTGACATAATGTACATGTAATTATTATGCCGTGTATGGTGACATAATGTACATGTAATTATTATGCCGTGTATGGTGACATAATGTATATTTAATTATTATGCAATTTTTAATGATGTTATATTATTTTTGTTGTATATTCCAAAATAATATAAACTATTGTCATATCATTTCCACTATATAATTTTTGATTATAACATTTTTGGGTTCAGATGATATTTTTCCAGTGTAATGTTTTAATATGAAAACTGTTAACTTATCTTAGTTCAATCTTGTAAAACATGATTCAATTCAATTTATTTCTCTTTTTACAAATGTACATAGGGAATGTCATACAAAACACATATACAACAATTAAAGGTTCACAGAGGCAGAAACATTAATAATATATATAATTGATGTCATGGAGGACAAACAATTGAAAATATAAATCTGATGAATTTACACATTTGTTTTAGTAATTAATATTATTTGTATTTAATAATGATTGGAATTTAATTATATTTACTCTTTTACAATAATATTCACCTAAGTAATACTTCCTTTTACTGAGAAATCTACAACATTCTAATGAATAATGAAATTCATCTCCAATTTTATAATCATTAAAATACGTACAAAATCTTTCTTCCCACGCAATACCATTCCATCTACTCATTTCAATTATAAACTCATGATTAGTTGTTCAAAATTTACATAACATTATCCGGTCCCTATCATCAAGCTGTTCAATACAATTTTCAAAATTTAAAGATTCTTTAAATATCCTATAGCATGCTGACTTAGAGGAATTAAAAACATCGCTTTTCCATTTCTGAATATACTGGTCTTTTAAGATCTGTTTAACAGTCAACTTCAACCATTCTACATTTACATTTATAGTACTTTGCATATCCCATATATAGCTTAAACCACATTCATTCAAGATTTTTCTGATATATAACAGCCACTGACTAGTTATACCATTTCTAATGTTACTTTTATATAAAACAGTGTATGAAATATAAGAGTACTTGCTATCATGTGCCTGTAACAATTTAGACCAATAGGTAATCATGCGGACCTTTACATGATTATGTAAATGATTATGCGTAGATTTATTATTTATCAATTTGACACAGGAAGAAGTTGATTCAATTTTTAGAAGGACATGTGCATGTTTACATGTACTTTCTGTCTGCAATACTGAAGTATTAACAGACAAAATATCAATAATTAATTGTTGATTTATAATGATACATCTGTAATATCTGTAAAAATTACAGGTAGATCCACAGCTAAAATATCTCAGGTACATGCAGTACCTTTATGAAACAGATTATAATTACCCTCCCTTTGATGTTTCTACCTATTGTCATGGACATGTATGCTTTCCGGAACAACCCGAAAGATCATGTTCAGCAATATCAGGTGTAAATTATCTTAATTAAAACACGTCACATGGGGGCTAATAAATAAATGCAATATAATATATTGGTAATGTTGATCGTAAGCTTCTCTGGCATTTGGTAATATAGATGAGGTCACATGACCATGATGTCACAATTTAGTTTATGTCAGATGACGTTTGTTAATACATTAAAGATAATATGACCTTTTTAATCTACTTGCAATCACAAGAGCATAGTAATGACTGAGGATACAGAAAAACTTTAATTATAAATAAAGAAATGAGATAAAGTAGACATAAGGTGAAGGTCAGAGGTCAAATAAACCCCTTTTTATTGGTCAGATTGATGTTCTATGACCTTTTTATACAGATGGGGTGTATATATCTAAATACTCCTAAAGGAATATATTTACATTTGTGTAGTTAATAAAGTCACAGACAAAATACATGTAGATATAAAAAAACTATTTGTGTTGATAAAACAGAGAGTAGTTAGCCAAGTTTTGTTGTTTTTAAAAATAGACATATTTGTCTTAAATAGGCTTAGTGCTATTTTTTAGGTATTTCAATCAGACAGCATTGTACCTGCTGTAGACATAAGTAATTGTAAAGGTACCTGCTGTAGACATAAGTAATTGTAAAGGTTGTTTGAGGACTTAAGTCACCTGCTGTAGACATAAGTAATTATAAAGGTTGTTTGAGGACTTTAGTCACCTGATATAGATGAAGTAATTGTTAAGGTTGTTTGAGGACTTAAGTCACCTGCTGTAGACATAAGTAATTATAAAGGTTGTTTGAGGACTTTAGTCACCTGCTGTAGACGTAAGTAATTGTTAAGGTTGAGGACTTCAGTCACCTGCTGTAGACGTAAGTAATTGTAAAGGTTGTTTGAGGACTTCAGTCACCTGCTGTAGACATAAGTAATTATAAAGTTTGTTTGAGGACTTAAGTCACCTGCTAAGGTTGTTTGAGGACTTAAGTCACCTGCTGTAGACATAAGTAATTGTAAAGGTTGTTTGAGGACTTTAGTCACCTGCTGTAGACATAAGTAATTGTAAAGGTTGTTTGAGGACTTAAGTCACCTGCTGTAGACATAAGTAATTGTAAAGGTTGTTTGAGGACTTAAGTCACCTGCTGTAGACGTAAGTAATTATAAAGGTTGTTTGAGGACTTCAGTCACCTGCTGTAGACGTAAGTAATTGTAAAGGTTGTTTGAGGACTTTAGTCACCTGCTGTAGACATAAGTAATTGTAAAGGTTGTTTGAGGACTTAAGTCACCTGCTGTAGACATAAGTAATTGTAAAGGTTGTTTGAGGACTTTAGTCACCTGCTGTAGACATAAGTAATTTTGTAAAGGTTGTTTGAGGACTTTAGTCACCTGCTGTAGACATAAAAGTAACCTGCTGTTAAGTAATTATAAAGGTTGTTTGAGGACTTAAGTCACCTGCTGTAGACATAAGTAATTGTAAAGGTTGTTTGAGGACTTCAGTCACCTGCTGTAGACGTAAGTATTTGTAAAGGTTGTTTGAGGACTTCAGTCACCTGCTGTAGACATAAGTAATTATAAAGGTTGTTTGAGGACTTTAGTCACCTGCTGTAGACTGTAGACATAAGTAATTGTAAAGGTTGTTTGAGGACTTTAGTCACCTGCTGTAGACATAAGTAATTTGTAAAGGTTGTTTGAGGACTTAAGTCACACTGCTGTAAGACATAAGTAATTGTAAAGGTTGTTTGAGGACTTTAGTCACCTGCTTTAGATGAAGTAATTGTAAAGGTTGTTTGATGACTTTAGTCACCTGCTTTAGACATAAGTAATTATAAAGGTTGTTTGAGGACTTTAGTCACCTGCTGTAGACATAAGTAATTGTAAAGGTTGTTTGAGGACTTTAGTCACCTGCTGTAGACATAAGTAATTGTAAAGGTTGTTTGAGGACTTAAGTCACCTGCTGTAGACATAAGTATTTGTAAAGGTTGATTGAGGACTTTAGTCACCTGCTGTAGACATAAGTATTTGTAAAGGTTGTTTGAGGACTTAGACATAAGTAGTCACCTGCATAAGTAATTGTAGGACAGTCACCTGCTGTAGACATAAGTAATTGTAAAGGTTGTTTGAGGACTTTAGTCACCTGCTGTAGACATAAGTAATTGTAAAGGTTGTTTGAGGACTTTAGTCACCTGCTGTAGACATAAGTAATTGTAAAGGTTGTTTGAGGACTTTAGTCACCTGCTGTAGACATAAGTAATTGTAAAGGTTGTTTGAGGACTTAAGTCACCTGCTGTAGACATAAGTAATTGTAAAGGTTGTTTGAGGACTTTAGTCACCTGCTGTAGACATAAGTAATTATAAAGGTTGTTTGAGGACTTTAGTCACCTGCTGTAGACATAAGTAATTATAAAGGTTGTTTGAGGACTTTAGTCACCTGCTGTAGACATAAGTATTTGTAAAGGTTGTTTGAGGACTTTAGTCACCTGCTGTAGACATAAGTAATTGTAAAGGTTGTTTGAGGACTTTAGTCACCTGCTGTAGACATAAGTAATTGTAAAGGTTGTTTGAGGACTTTAGTCACCTGCTGTAGACATAAGTAATTGTAAAGGTTGTTTGAGGACTTTAGTCACCTGCTGTAGACATAAGTAATTATAAAGGTTGTTTGAGGACTTTAGTCACCTGCTGTAGACATAAGTAATTGTAAAGGTTGTTTGAGGACTTTAGATCACCTGCTGTAGACATAAGTAATTGTAAAGGTTGTTTAGACATAAGTAATTATAAAGGTTGTTTTTAGTCACCTGCTAAGTAACCTGCTGTAGACATAAAATTTAAAGGTTGTTTGAGGAAGTCACCTGCTGTAGACATAAGTAATTATAAAGGTTGTTTGAGGACTTTAGTCACCTGATATGTAGACATAAGTAATTGTAAAGGTTGTTTGAGGACTTAAAGGTTGTTTGAGGACTTTAGTCACCTGCTGTAGACATAAGTAATTATAAAGGTTGTTTGAGGACTTTAGTCACCTGCTGTAGACATAAGTAATTGTAAAGGTTGTTTGAGGACTTTAGTCACCTGCTGTAGACATAAGTAATTGTAAAGGTTGTTTGAGGACTTTAGTCACCTGCTAGACATAGTAATTATAAATGAGGAAGTACCTTGTAGACATAAGGTAAAGGTTGTTTGAGGACTTTAGTCACCTGCTGTAGACATAAGTAATTGTAAAGGTTGTTTGAGGACTTTAGTCACCTGCTATAGATGAAGTAATTGTAAAGGTTGTTTGAGGACTTTAGTCACCTGCTGTAGACATAAGTAATTATAAAGGTTGTTTGAGGACTTTAGTCACCTGCTGTAGACATAAGTAATTATAAAGGTTGTTTGAGGACTTTAGTCACCTGCTGTAGACATAAGTATTTGTAAAGGTTGTTTGAGGACTTTAGTCACCTGCTGTAGACATAAGTATTTGTAAAGGTTGTTTGAGGACTTAAGTCACCTGCTGTAGACATAAGTAATTGTAAAGGTTGTTTGAGGACTTTAGTCACCTGCTGTAGACATAAGTAATTGTAAAGGTTGTTTGAGGACTTAGTCACCTGCTGTAGACATAAGTAATTGTAAAGGTTTGTTTGAGGACTAGTCACCTGCTGTAGACATAAGTAATTGTAAAGGTTGTTTGAGGTAGTCACCTGCTGTAGACATAAGTAATTGTTAAGGTTGTTTGAGGACTTTAGTCACCTGCTGTAGACATAAGTAATTGTAAAGGTTGTTTGAGGACTTTAGTCACCTGCTGTAGACATAAGTAATTGTAAAGGTTGTTTGAGGACTTTAGTCACCTGCTGTAGACATAAGTATTTGTAAAGGTTGTTTGAGGACTTAAGTCACCTGCTGTAGACATAAGTAATTGTAAAGGTTGTTTGAGGACTTAAGTCACCTGCTGTAGACATAAGTAATTGTAAAGGTTGTTTGAGGACTTTAGTCACCTGCTGTAGACATAAGTAATTGTAAAGGTTGTTTGAGGACTTAAGTCACCTGCTGTAGACATAAGTAATTGTAAAGGTTGTTTGAGGACTTAAGTCACCTGCTGTAGACATAAGTAATTATAAAGGTTGTTTGAGGACTTTAGTCACCTGCTGTAGACATAAGTAATTATAAAGGTTGTTTGAGGACTTAAGTCACCTGCTGTAGACATAAGTAATTATAAAGGTTGTTTGAGGACTTTAGTCACCTGCTGTAGACATAAGTAATTATAAAGGTTGTTTGAGGACTTTAGTCACCTGCTGTAGACATAAGTAATTATAAAGGTTGTTTGAGGACTTTAGTCACCTGCTGTAGACATAAGTAATTGTAAAGGTTGTTTGAGGACTTTAGTCACCTGCTATAGATGAAGTAATTGTAAAGGTTGTTTGAGGACTTTAGTCACCTGCTGTAGACATAAGTAATTATAAAGGTTGTTTGAGGACTTTAGTCACCTGCTGTAGACATAAGTAATTATAAAGGTTGTTTGAGGACTTTAGTCACCTGCTGTAGACATAAGTAATTATAAAGGTTGTTTGAGGACTTCAGTCACCTGCTGTAGACATAAGTAATTATAAAGGTTGTTTGAGGACTTTAGTCACCTGCTGTAGACATAAGTAATTATAAAGGTTGTTTGAGGACTTAAGTCACCTGCTGTAGACATAAGTAATTATAAAGGTTGTTTGAGGACTTAAGTCACCTGCTGTAGACATAAGTAATTATAAAGGTTGTTTGAGGACTTTAGTCACCTGCTGTAGACATAAGTATTTGTAAAGGTTGATTGAGGACTTTAGTCACCTGCTGTAGACATAAGTATTTGTAAAGGTTGTTTGAGATATAAGTCCCCTAGGTGATAGGTCATATTAAGGCTGCTTATTTTAGAGATGTTGGTTACCTGTCCCTCCTAAGTCTTACTATTATTGTTGTTGTTGGGAGATGTAGTTTTCTTCCCGAGATATTGAACTTAGGTTTTTTCCTGGGTTTTAAGTTAATGTAGAATGTTTCTTGTTTACAGGTAATTAATGAGTTTGGATCCTGGACTCTGACTGACAACACAGAACCATGGGATAACAGTTCCTGGAATTTCATGGATACTTTGGTGAAAATAGCCAGTACTGGATTAAACGAACCACTGCTGGGAATGGGTGTCAGTAACGACGACCGAAACAACACTGTCAACATTATAACAGTAGGTGGAAATAATCATCAAATCATGATTTTGTGTCAAAATCTTCGAGAAACTATCACAACCTGTGTAGGATTATAAAATATCAGAACCTGTGTAGGATTAAAAAATATCAGAACCTGTGTATGATTATAAATTATCATACCTGTGTAGGATTATAAAGTATCATACCTGTGTATGATTATAAAATATCATACCTGTGTAGGATTAGAAAATATCATACGTGTGTAGGATTATGAAGTATCATACCTGTGTAGGATTATGAAATATCATACCTGTGTAGGATTATAAAATATCATACCTGTGTAGGATTATGAAATATCATACCTGTGTAGGATTATAAAATATCATACCTGTGTAGGATTATAAAATATCATACCTGTGTAGGATTATGAAATATCATACCTGTGTAGGATTATAAAATATCATACCTGTGTATGATTATATAATATCATTACCTATGTAATAATATATGCATGGAATGAATGAATAATTTTCAACAAAAAATTGATTTTGAGAAAGATTTAGAAATTGACAAAAAAAAATTGTTTTGTAAATATATGATTGAATGTTATTTTGAATACAAGGCACTGTAGATAAGAAAAGAGAAGCACATTTTGTACATCAGATAAATTCAATAATTCCACTTATATATTAAATAAGGGCTGCAAATCTTGTTGTTGATAAACTTACAAATTAGGGCAGTCTTCCCGTACTACTTGTACATCAACTAAGGGACATAACTCTTGTTATCAGCTTTCACAGAGTGGTCTCACCCTAGGATCCTGTGAACTGTATTACACTAACAATTCTAAGTACAAGGAACTGAAGGACGCCTACATAAATTATGGCACCAATTGGACAGTTTATGTCGGAGGCAAGGAAAGTGAAGTCAGGACGAAGATCGAGGCAGTTTACAACTTTGAACAGCAGCTAGCATTAGTAAGTCAGTTGTATGAAATGGAACTGAGCCATTTTGTTTTTGTTGTTTCTCCTCTGATAGATTGAATGATTGGTTTTTTTGAGCATATACAAAGTTTCATGTCATCTTTTATAATTGAAGAGAAAAAACACATTATGAATATGGTATTCTTCAACATTTTAAAAGTAATATTATAATAGATTGGACAGATATAAACTAACCTTCAACAACTTGAAATTATCAGTAATGTAATTTATCTTTTTGCGAAAACTTGTCAGTGATAACTGAATCCAAGAGACCTGTATGTCATTAATTCAATTTATTCAGAGTTGTCTTGAAAAAGTAATCCAGGTTTGGCTTTGACATTACTGATCCAAAATTATGCTTCTAAAACATCAGAATAACTATAATTTGTAACCTGGGTCTTAAAGTAAGTAAATTTCATACATTTGCTTACTAAACATGATTTCTTTACTGACCCACGTTCTGCAAGAGCAAGTAAGTCACTGTCACACAGAGAGTATCTTAGGGATGTCCTGTATTTGTAATACATTAGGATTTCATTTAGTTCATTAGAACATATTACAAATAACATTGATAATAAGTCTGCTTCTCACATATACTATATGTTTTAGCTTATTGTATGTAGATTTTATAATTTTGTATTATTTGTATTGTAGATTTACAGAACAAAGAAAGAACTACAAGATCCCGTGAAAACTTACAACAAAATGACAATTAAAGAGCTTCAGGACAAGTACTTAGGGACTGACTCTATGGTAGGTAATATCCTCCCCAATAACATGATTCAAACCGATCCTGATTGTTCTATGTCAGGGTTAGATAGTAAGTACAGTAACATTAACCATGTTGGAGATTAACACCTGACTGGTTTGCTTCAAGTGGCAAAGAGTTCTTATCAGGGGAGATAAATCCTCCCTGAAATTTCACAGCAGATAAATCAATTTTGACTAAAGGTGATGATAATAGGATTGGATGTACTTATAGTTTTGTTTTTTGACAATGAATTCATGGAGAACATTCACAGCTTGTATCATTTTCTTTACTAGAATGTTTCATGTGAAATAAAAGTTGAGTTTGCAGTTTCTCTGCATAAACATTGTGCCAACAGGTACCTCCTCTGATATACCTACTTACCTCCCTTTGCCTTTCAGATAAATATACATGACTACCTCAATGGTGTATTTGGAAGGGAGTTAGCAGATGATACACAGATCCTGGTGACCACACCACAGTACCTGAAAGATCTCACCCCTCTTCTGGCCAAAACACCAAAGAGGTTAGTTTCCTTGTTATGTAGTTTAGATGTCTGTTTTTCAAAATTTTGGTTCAGGAGAAAAACATTTGCTGGGGACAATGTATTTAATTCATCTTGAATGTCTTCAAATATAGAGAAACTCTACAAATTTTATCTGCTATGCATCATAAAAAAATAAGTTGATTTAATGGTCGACGTTAAACATTTTTTATTATACTGCATTGGCCTTCTGTCTACTCGAGAATGTTTTTATCGTAACATTACATGGCTAAAATCCTTTTTTGAAACTGTTGAGATTTATAAAATTCTACATTACCTGAAAGATGTTGGTCTATATAATAGATTATGACGTAGCATTTTAATCTTTTGTGTTAACATACCCATTTAAGATTTTTAACATTTGTCTTTTACCTTTTGGTTTGTTTAATGTTTTTTCCTTTTGGATCGCTGTGTGTTTTACCGTTTGATGGCCCTAATGACCTTTTATGTGTTGACGGGTCGTTAAGAATGTAATAATAATAAAATCTGAGATCAGGTTTGATAAGAGTTTTGTATCTTTCTCAAACAAATGCTAGTGTTCTGCTCTTTTGAGTGAGTGTTTATTCCTCATTATTGGTTTGTGGGAGTATGAACTTCTTAAGAAATCAACGTTACTTTCTCATGGAAATTTATAATGTGACAGTCAATTAATGCTTACAAGAGCAGATAACTCTGCATCACAAAAAGACAGAAATATCTATATGACAGGTGTTGCCCAGCATACTGTTACTATGTAATGTTTCAGCTGATATGTAAACTGTCTGTTGCAGTGTTTTAGCCGACTACATGGTCTTCACTTCTGTCAGTTTATTATCTGGATATTTACCCCAGCGTTTCTCTGATCTTTCACTCATCCTGGCCAAGGTGGAGACAGGTGTGTCCAAACTTGATCCTCGCTGGATGCGTTGTATGAACAAAGCTGTTGCTACTGTAGGATATGGTGCAGGAGCTCTGTATGTGCAAGACTACTTTGCCGAGACAAGCAAAGCCCAGGTCAGTCCAAAAAAAAAAGAATCTTACACTGAATATGTTAAGATGTGGTCAAATTTTAAAAATTATTTGAAAATATGCATCCAAATTCAGTGAGAATTATATACACAGTGCTTACTCTATACTGGGAATCAAAATAGTCTTACCTTGTCTTTTTATGGTATACAGTTTTATGATATATGGGTCATATTCTTATATGCATGGTTATAGTTTTTATTTCCCGAGGTTTGGCCATTTTACATTCAGCCTTGCCTTACATCAATAGGAATTTAAAGAAGATAAAAAGACATGCAGTACACGTTTATTTCAATTTCTTTACCATAGATTCTGCTGTTAATATTCCCCGGACTTCGATTTCATTTCAAGAGTTGTATGTACACATATCTTAACAGTGTCAGCAGGCCTCCCATAGGTTGTTTAGTGAAGCAACAGACTCTGGCACAAAATTACCCAGGCAGTTAATAGGTGGATAAACCTAGCAAGCAAACAAACATTACAAGGAAATGATTTACAGTCTAAACTGTCATAACAGCCACCTTGGTTAGACAGCCACCTGCTTATAACGGCCGTTTGCAGACCCTCCCAATCGTTTTTGCTCATTAATAATACCTAATTTAACAGCCACCTGTCTAACGCGGCCAGCCTTTTCATCTCCAAACTCGCGATCGAACCTCGTTTAAATGGCCCTTTTGACCATATGACCATAAGTCATTTGAAAAGCTTTCTTGACTGCGAGTCACATTTTCTTGCCCCGTGAACATTCCTACAAAGAAAACAGCTGATGGCACGTAAACACAATTCTCTATTAATTTTATATTGAGTTTGATTTCATTTACCTCACTGGTATACACAATGCAGGCATATTATCACTATTGTGGCCAATCACTTCAAAATATGAGCAGCAAATGAAAAACTTTAACTCTTGAAGAGCGCTACAATGCACTTTCGATGCTTGAGACTGGAAAAAGTGCACGGGTCATTGCTAAAGACCTCGGTGTTGGCAGGACACAAGTTCTCCAAATATTAAAAAGAAAAGTCGAAATTTTAGAGGCCATAGAAAATAATGTGTTCGGTGAAAGGAAAAGAAAAAGACATCAATCAGGAAATGAAGATATAAATGATTTAATGTGGAAGTGGTTCAATACTGGCATGCATTCGAGAGGAGGACACGGATTGTGAATCAGAGGAAACAGATGATATCAAAAGTGAATGTGACAAGAGTGAAGTCAAACCAGTTATGTTAATGAACGACTTAATTGATTCTTTGGCAAAAATGAAAAAGTTTGCAATACAGTGGGGCAAATGTAATATTCTGTCTTGTCTTATGGAGATTGACGATCTGATAGCAAATGCATGTATTGACAGCCATTCGAAACAATCAGACATTCGCTCTTTATTTCAATAGCTTCATTAAAACTTGTACATGCCTTCCTTTCAATTTTGTACTTTTTTATTTATAGTTGTGTCATAAGTATAAGATTGGTCTGTCTTCAAATTACTTGCTAACAAGATAATAAATAATAACAGATGATGTTTTATATCTTATTATTTAACTGTATTCAGATATCAATGTGCAAATTGCTGCAACTTTGGTTCATAAATAAGGAACCTCAATTAAGAGGCCACCTCTCTATAAAGGCCACTTTCATAATTTCCAAACAGTGGCCGTTTCATACAGGTTAGACTGTAATTACAAAACACCTGTTATATTTTGAATAAATTGCTCATAGTTCAGTATCTTTCCTCTTATTCTAGCTGTTTTGGGAAAATTTAGTTATCAACGTTTCTCTTAAAACTTGGGGACAGTAACATTTTATAAAGTACAACTGGTCCCAGATTTTCAGAAAGTTTTTACTTAATCAGGTGGAAGATATACTGGAACAAGTGAGGGCAGCTTTTATTTCAAATCTCCCAAGCGTGACATGGATGGATGACGCGACACGAGAGAAGGCTGTAGAGAAAGCAGAAAAAGTCAGCAAAAAAATTGCCTACCCGGACTGGATCCTTGATCCTGTTAAACTCGACAAGTATTACGAAAATGTGAGAATAACAACACAACACATTCAAGTGGTTTTATTCAACTAGTCCTTATTAGGGTATAAAAGTTGAAGAATATTTTTTTACTTCTATATTTATTTATTAACTCTTTATTAAGTTCTCAAGGTATCATAACAACATTTTGTCTTTTGAAAAATTCACCAAATTCAGTTTTGGATTCTCTGCTTAAAAAAACAATGGTACTGACAAGGTAAAATATAATAATGTTCTGTTTGTGTTGTGCTCTTATGACTTACCATATAAATCTGTTTGTTTTCTGTGGCTCGCAAATTAAAAAAAAATATTCAAAACAATTCCAGTCGTTTTCATTCATTACATATGTTATAAATAGATGTAAAAGTTCACATTTATTTTTTTGAATCTCTCGCTTTCAATTCATCTTATCATTTCAGATTTATATGTTTTTTAAATACTTCAGTAGACTTACTGGGTGCCTAAGGGAAAAAAATAATTGAGTTTGAATTGTTAGGGATGAAAACTCATAATTTTTGTACAAATTATAACATTCTGTTCTTTACCTTTCAGCTTACAGTAACACCTGCAAAATTTGTAAAGAGTGTATTCCAAATTTTAGAATACAGCGTTCGTAAAAATCTGGACAAACTTGGCAAGCCTCCAGACCCTAATGAGTAAGTTTACTGTTTATCAAATAAAATCTAATGGATAAGTATGATGAAATTCTGAGGGTTTTTAACTAGCATCAATTGTAAAAGCTTCAAGTGATATTGATCACTGTGTAATTGGTCACTTCAGCTATTTGTAATCATTCCCCTGTTACAACACAGTCACACAGTTTAAGATTTTAATTCTAAAGGGATTTTTTCTGGTTTTTATAAGGACTTTTATTCAAAGACTAGATGCCTCTAGAGTCGATACATGTAGCTCAATAAAATCATGAGTAGGGCCTACTTAACATCTTTCTTTATCAAGTCTCTAGCTTTCAAATGCATAATTTTTAGCTCACTTGGCCCTTAACAGGAAGGCTCAGGGCACTGATATGTAACATGCTAGGATAGAGGGCTACCAAGTCCGTTTGAATGAATGACCTTGACCCAATTTCAAAGGTCATAGGGGTCAAATATATGAAAATTTTCAAAAAACTTCCTCTCAGTAAGGCCAATGGTATTGATATTAGGCAGTAAGCATTCTGGGAATCAGGACTATAGTTGTTCAAATGTATGACCTTGACCCATTTTCAAAGTCACAGGGGTCAAATGTGTAAAAAAAAAAAATCAAACTGCTTCTTTTCTGTAAGGCCAAGGGTATTGATATTGGGCCTTAAGCATACAGGAGAAAAGGGTTTTCCCCATTAGCTGAAAGGCCCAGAGTACTGATATTGGTCATGTGGCATGCTAGGATGAAGTGCTACCAAGGTAGTTCAAATGAATGACCTGGACTAACTTTGAAGGTAACAGGTGTCAAATGTGATGAAAAAAAACTTCAAACTTCTTCTTCTCTGTAAGGAAAAGGATAAGGGTTATGATATTGTGCCTAAACCATAGAGGGGAAAAGGACTACCAAGATTGTTCAAATGAATGACCTTCAACGTCTCGGGGGCCAAATGCACTACAATCTTGAAATATCTTCTCAATCACCAAAAGGCCCAGGAAACTTTGTACATGTATTGATCTAGTGGTCCAGCAGCGTCTTTCACTATGCAGGAGGTTTCATTTCTGATAATTCTCTCATTACCATGGAAACAAACAGTCAGAATTGCCAAAATTGTTAAAATCACCATTACCGGAACATACATTATGTAACTTGAAAACAGTTACCATTGAAATGCCTGTCACTAGCTACCAGGGTTTCCATTTCAGCTGCTTGAGCATGCTTCTTTGGCTCAGTCGGTAGAGCTGGTCGTTTATCAGGCCAGAGACCTGGGTTTGATTACTGTTGGGCACTCAACAGGAATGCGTATTTTCCCTGTTCTTTCACAATATTATTTAAAATGTTACTTACCTGTAATTTACCTGTTTGTTTATACCTTGTTTACCTGTTACAGGTGGGCAATGATGCCTACTGAGGTAATTTATTTACATGTGATTTACCTGTAATTTACCTGTTTGTTTATGCCTCGTTTACCTGTTTCAGGTGGGCCATGATGCCTACTGAAGTCAACGCCTACTACTCACCTATATACAACAGCATCGCTTTCCCTGCTGGAATTTTACAAAAGCCTTTCTTTGACCCAGAATTCCCAATGTAAGTGACAAAAAAAAAATTCTGAAAAGGAAGAAAAGAAAAAAAAAGTTTATAGATAAATAAATTATCCTATCTATTATATTGGTAATTATGTTGTATCAAGGAAATTCAAGGCCTACATGGTCATATGATATGATAGTTTATGTACACTGTAAATCTGTCACATTAGATATTCTTGTGAATTTGACAGTAACATTACAGTACATACCTTAGATGAGACCTTCAATATTCATGTACTATATATACATTTCAGTCCATTTAACTACGGTACAGTTGGGATGATCATTGGCCATGAGTTAACACATGGGTTTGATAATTCAGGTAAGATTTATTGACAGTAATGCCTGATGTGTGTGGTTTTGTATGTCAGCAATGTTGTCCTGAAAGTCATACTCTGATGTCTCAATTTTTGTGCATCAGCATCTTCATAACAAAATATAAATAATTGATATTATCAATTATACAGTCTATTTTTGACAGTTTCTGGAATTTTTCCTGAAACATTAAGCATTTTTATGTTTTTTCAGAAAGGACACAACTGTCAAAATCTCAGCCATTTTAGGTATTTTTCATCTCTTTCTCAATGGCCTTGATATCCTGTCCAGAATAGCAATGTGTGATTGTCATGGGAGATAACTCTAGACAGCAAACATACCAACATTATTGTTTCCACCTTTAGAAAATGCCATTTTTACTCAGCAGTTGTTTGACTCCTCTACAGACAAAAGGGCATAAGGTCAAAAGGGGGTCAGATAGCAAACTGGTTTTTATTTAAAGCATATCTTGTCTCCTCTATTGTCAGACAGGTTTCTTCCATACTTAGTTTTTCCCAAGTTTTTCCCATCAAAATCATCATGTGACTTCATGCCTCCCTTTCAGGTGTCTGTTCTACTAATACCTTATTATATAAAAGATGTAACAGTAAATACTGGTTATACGATGATGACCTTGTCTCTGTTATTCCATTGACAATATTAATATGACCTTTTCTGTTAATTTCCAGGACGAAAATATGATCTTAATGGTAATTTACATAACTGGTGGACTAATTCCTCAATACTTGGATTTAAACGAAGGACAGGTTGTATGGTGAAACAATATTCAAGTTATGAGGTAGAAGGTGTCCATGTAAGTATATAGATATATATATTTGAAAAGAATGAAATCAACACTGCAAATGTATTCCGCTAACATTTTCAGGCGTAATGGCCATCTTGATGCGATACATTTATTGTAACGTCTTGGTAAGGACATTGTGACATCATACATAAGGGAAGATGGAGATAACGTTATCGTTCGCAGTATATTGACTTTACATTTATGTGCGTTTGTTATTAATAAAATATGTGTAAAAGATTTTTTCAAAACCTTAACTAGCATTGAGAGCTGGTTTAAATATTTTGACAAACAATATGTTTGGCATATTGATTTTATTCTTTTCAAATGTCTTATCGATACACAAAGCATTTTTAAGTTACATTATATATATGTGTAAACATAAAAGGCCAACAAGGCAAACTTGATTATCGCTAATGTTTTCATAAGATGTCCGCTTCAAGTACAACAAAGCAACTTTGCAAAGAGGATATGTTTGTCTAACTCTTCAAGCCGGCACTAAATGCGAATTAATTAGTGTCATTATGCCTTACAAATATTAATAACATCATTATCTCCCCTTATACATTATTGTTTACATTACGTCATAATGGTGTAACCAAGACATTAAAGTAATTGCCTGAAGATAGCCGAGACATGGCTTGAAAACGTTAGCGATAATCAAGTTTATTTGCCTTGTTGGCATTTTACGTTAATATATTTAAACAATACATAATGTTCTCATCTAATTGAACTATATATATATATACTCCTCATGGTAATAATATTTTCCAGAGCATTAGATTTCCTTAATTTTTGGAATTTGTTATTTGCCCCAGCCTCTTGTAAGATTAAACAAAAAATTATGTCGTATTTTCTGGTCATTGCATTGAAATTTGCAGATTTTCTGGTTTTGAGGTAAAGTAAAGGTTTAATATGTTTTTTACAATTTCTGTTTCAGAGTTTTGCTACTTTGTTGTTGCTACAGTTTTGTAAACAGTTATACATAACATGATAAAATACATCATATAGCAGACTGTGGTAATCAAAATGATGGTGTCCTTTTGTCAAAATGGTGGTGTCCTTTTGTCAAAATGGTGGTGTCCTTTTGTCAAAATGATGGTGTCCTTTTGTCAAAATGGTGGTGTACTTTTGTCAAGCAAAACATCAAACTATTTAATGTCAGAGATTCAAAGTGCTTATGTTTCCCAAACGTTTTAAACATCAATTTATTTGATGTTTGGTAGCCGTTGTTTTCTCGTTAAAAATGTAAAAAGAAAATTTTATTAATGAAGCACATTTCACATTTGTTCATTTTCTTTGCCAAAAAAACTAAAAATGATAATTCTTCAGCTTGTTTTATATGAAATGGAAACTCATTTTAATTATTTTCATTACTATTACCCTCAGCCTCAGGGTGGTGGTACAGTGGTGTAACACACTTACTATACCTAGCCATCCAGGGTTTGATTCCTGGGATGGATTTAAAAAGATATGGGGTCACCTACCTGATCACATGGGTGTCTCCCAGGTACTCCAGTCCTCCCACAGTAATACCCCGCCCACATTTCCAATACAGATTTACAAAAGTGATCAATTTAAGTTGGAAAAATGCAATTGATGTCAGATGATCAATCTTTATAATTCTGTCCAGTAGGATACTCCAGAAAAGCAGGATTTTTCTTCTTCCAACATGTTTCCATGGACAGTACCATAATACATTGTTACAAATTATGATTTATTTATAGATACGAGGGGACACCACTCTAGGAGAAAATATAGCTGATAATGGAGGGTTGAAAACTGCATACCAGGCTTACAAGAAGTGGAGGAACAGTCATTCTGATGATCTGCTTAAGTATCCTGGTTTGGAACTTGATGAAGATCAACTGTTTTATGTGGGATTTTCTCAGGTATTATAAAAACTTTTTTTTTACCGTCTTGTCACCTTTTTTATGGGAGTTGATGTGATTTCTCATATTTGACCATGTTTATGGTATTAATTAATCATAAAAAATTGGGTCGTTTGTTTGTTTGTTAATTGTTAAAAAAGTTATAAACTTCTATTGTTTTAAATCTTGAATAAATCTTGTTTGATAAATGTTTATTGTTAAATCTGTTTGGAACCAATGCAGAGGTACAATTAAGTTCCAGCTAAGGTCCCTAGTTGGTAGTGTGGATATATCTAGGGCGGTTGTATAGGCGACAAGTGGAAGTAAGGAAATACAACCACAACACACCTCCAAAGTTTCTGTATTTCAATTGCTACTTTTTTATGGTTGACTGGTTTTGCATCATAGGTGATGCTTCATCAGAACCGTTCTTGTAGCAAATGAAATACAGAAACTACCGAGGTGTGTTGTGGTTGTATTTCCTTACTTCCATCTAAAGTAATTATGTCTACCTTTTTATATTGAATGATTATACTCTCCAAAATCCTTCAGCAAGCGTAAAGTTGCCATTTTTTCTGTCAATTTGTCTTTCCATCTGTTTTTCTGTCCATTCTTTCATGTCCAGAGCATACCTTTGGTCACAATAAAACAAGGATGGTGAATTATGGTGTGCACATTGTTCATACATGATATGCAGTGTACCAATTTCAGGGTCCACAACTTTTTAATTTACAGAGTTGCTGCCATTTGTTAAACTTTTTGTTTCCGTAGCCTAACTTTGCTTTTATTAAATCTAGGACAACTTGGCATATACATTGGTCATACTGACAGAATGTGCAGTGTACCAAATTCAGTGCCTTAAATCCTTCAATTACAGAGTTAATGCCCTTTGTGTGCAATAAGTTCTTATTGGGATATTGATCATTTTCACTGATACTGTATTTTACACTTAGATTTGATGTTATTATATTCTACCTGTTTCAATGTTTTAGCTGTGGTGTTCCTACTATACACCTGCCTACGCTAAACAGTCTATTCTAATTGATGAACATACCTATGCAAAATACAGGTGAGAGGATGATCTGATAAAAACTTGATATTATCATATCTTCTTTATTAAGTAATCAGCCCATACATGATAATAAACCAACGAATTTTTTATTATAATTTGTATAGAACTGCTTGTAAATTTATATAATTGTCCTATAATTGTTGACCTCTGATTTGAATCTAGTGTGTATATAACAGGTGACGTAAAATACTATAACTTTTGAAGTGTGATAAAGCAATGTCTTACACCTGTCATATTTTTGAACTGCAAAATTCTTCAAAACTGAAGTGTTCATGATATGTTGTGTTGTAGGGTCATCGGAGCCTTGTCTAACTCAGATGCCTTTGCCAGAGCCTTCCACTGTCCACGGAACTCGCCCATGAATCCAGACCATAAATGTGTAATTTGGTGATGAGGATGTAGTTTTATAAACAATCAATGTTTCATCTACCATCAATGATCTAGACATTGTATCGAGTTATCTAAATCATGACAAACAACCTCTTAGAAAGTTCTGTCATTCTTTATTTTTTTAAATTGATTAAGTATTTTTGTATGTCTTGAATCTCAGCTTTTCTAACATCTCAATACATTTAAATCATGCAAACTTTGGTTATGGATTCTACTGTTTCATATATATCTATACTCAATTTATGTATGTGCATTTTTATCTTTCCATTGTGAGTTTTCTCCCTTATGATTTTTTTTATTGAGACACCTCTGTCTATTTTGAATTATCTCCCTTATAAGCTTATTGATTGAGACACCTCTGTCTATTTTGAATTATTTTCCTTTTGAGCTTAATGATTGAGACACCTCTGTCTATTTTGAATTATCTCCCATATAAGCTTATTGATTGAGACACCTCTGTCTATTTTGAATTATCTCCCTTATAAGCTTATTGATTGAGACACCTCTGTCTATTTTGAATTATTTTCCTTTTGAGCTTAATGATTGAGACACCTCTGTCTATTTTGGATTTTCTCCCATATAAGCTTATTGATTGAGACACCTCAGTCTATTTTGAATTATTTTCCTTTTGAGCTTAATGATTGAGACACCTCTGTCTATTTTGAATTATCTCCCATATAAGCTTATTGATTGAGACACCTCTGTCTATTTTGAATTATCTCCCTTATAAGCTTATTGATTGAGACACCTCCGTCTATTTTGAATTATTTTCCTTATGAGCATAATGATGGAGACACCTCTGTCTATTTTGAATTATCTCCCATATAAGCTTATTGATTGAGACACCTCTGTCTATTTTGAATTATCTCTCTTATAAGCTTATTGATTGAGACTATTTTGAATTATTTTCCCTCTGTCTATTTTGAATTATCTCCCTTATAAGCTTATTGATTGAGACACCTCTGTCTATTTTGAATTATTTTCTTTTGATCTTAATGATTGAGACACCTCTGTCTATTTTGAATTATCTCTCTTATAAGCTTATTGATTGAGACACCTCTGTCTATTTTGAATTATCTCTCTTATAAGCTTATTGATTGATACACCTCTGTCTATTTTGAATTATCTCCCTTATAAGCTTACTGATTGAGACACCTCTGTCTATTTTGAATTATCTCCCTTATAAGCTTATTGATTGAGACACCTCTGTCTATTTTGAATTATCTCCCTTATAAGCTTATTGATTGAGACACCTCCGTCTATTTTGAATTATTTTCCTTATCATAATGATGGAGACACACATATAAGCTTATTGATTGAGACACCTCTGTCTATTTTGAATTATCTCTCTTATAAGCTTATTGATTGAGACACCTCTGTCTATTTTGAATTATCTCCCTTATAAGCTTATTGATTAAGATACCTTTTTCATTTATTTATGCAGATTTGTTTCCCTAATTCTGTTATTTCTATTACACACAACAGTTATTTTACACAGATACAACTAATAACTTTTATGTGAAAAGAAAATTTGTGATAGACACTCTTACTTTATCTCTCTGTATGATGGGTACCCAGCTGACGGTTAATAACACCCTGGTACCTTAATCCTTCCTAGTAATATTTTAATTCTATTTCCTTAAACTAAATTCATTGTTTGATGTAGGTTTAATTTAATAAATTCACCATTGTCTATTAGCATATTTTAGTAAATAAAAGAAAAAAAAAATTAGTGATATGCTAGGAAATAAAAGAAAAAACATATTGAGTGAATACACTATTTAACAATATGCTAATCTTCATTTTAAATTTTATTTGTGATATTTGTGAAGAATCCACTATTCTGTCATCAGTACATTATATATAGTTATGACTTAATAGTTCATATACATTGTTCCATTATCTAATGACTAGTATATAATACAGAAATCCATTTATCAAACTCTACGCACCTGTATGGAAAGTTTATAATATTTAAAAGGTGATATAAGAAATCCATGAGTTGATGGCCTTGTCTTGATAACAGTGTAGAAATCTAATAACTTACATATATTTACCTGTATGGAAATTTCACAAATTTCATTGATACTGTTTGCAGTTTTACATAAACCATGAAGAAAAAAGGCTATTGTCACAATGGTCACTTTCATTGTTAAAATTATCTCTAAGTAGCAAGGTAGATTTTTTGTTCTATTTTTTCCCATCTTCAAATTTGGCAAAAATAATTAATTCCTGGAAAATAATATCTATAGCAATGCTGATGAAATATGACTTTATACAACTGAATATAATAGCCATATTACAGAAATCCATTTAACGACACTTGATCCAGATGCTGTGCCAAGAATTTTGAAATCCATGTATTTTTTTAAGAATGTATCAGTCAAGATATGATGTCTCAATTTTGTTGACAATTAATGCAGAATATTGTCAACATTTATCCTTATATGACATGTGCAACGCAATTAGAAATATTAGCCTTATGTTGGTCTTAATTATTACTGTTAAAAAGTGTTACAATTTGTGCCATATGAATTCGTTTTAAGACAACAAATACATGTTGTATTCAGAACTACCTATAATGTTGGTATCTTCAATTTGGCAAAAGCTCTGTTTTTTTGTTTGTTTTTGTGATAAACACAAATTTAAGCAATATGTTTACAATTTAAAGCTATTTTCAATTTTGACATGATTATAATGTAGAAATATATTATTTTGAGTTGTACAGGTGTCTGTGGTTTGACTTCCTGTCTTTCCTTAAATATTGTAAGGGTCCATTGTGATGTCATGTGATCATTGCAAGCTATTTATAGTAATGGGTTTTACTTACTGTTTCAGCGTAATACATAATTGTTACGAGGAATCTCATTGATAATGTATAGCAGCTGGTATCACTATAGAGTGATATCCACAGATCTCTTGTGATAACATGTTAATATATGTTAAGTTATACAACAAGTTGTTTGCATTATAAATGTAGATATAATTGGATAGTGTATGATAAATTATGTGTTGGTATACTAGCTTGGATTCTGCAATGCCATACAATATGTTTCTCTATGCATAATATAATTATATAATGTTATACAATGTGTTTGTCTACTAGACATAATTGTATAATGTTATACAATGATTTATATCTAAAATATTGTATTACAATTGTATACAGATATAATTTTAGTGTCATACAGTGTTTGTGTATGTGGAATAAAATTGTATAACATCATATAATGTTTTATATGCTAGATATTGTATAATAGTGTGGCATTTTTTGTATCAGGTTGAAAATTATAATGATATAACAGGTGTGAAATAGAAATATAATCACATTATTTACTGATGTAGTCCCAATGGTTTTAATAATGGTCACATGACTACTTGTATTAATTACTGTGTAACATGTTACATTTTTAAAAATTTGGTTTTATGGAGTGAAATGTCATACAAACAGGAAATACATCCGAACATGAACAAATGTAAACAATGAAGAAAGTGAGAATAATTACAATTATTATCTGACAGCCAAACTGTTAACCAAATAATAGGCTTATTTTCCTCATTTTTTCCTGTTGATATGATAGTTTGATATGTTTCTTATAACCACCCAACAAGTTAGTCCAAGAACATGTAATATTTCAAGTAGAAAAGTGATGATAATAAGAATTGTACAGTATTATCTGTCTGCCCAACATATCAGAATAAGGTGATTCTAAAAGGGATGACAAATTCTTTTATTGAATAATCAGGTTTTAATGTGTCTGTAGCAAAAGCAAAAAAAATCAGTCATATGGAGGACTATCACAAAACATGAAAATTTCTCCTGGGAAACAATGTCTTATTCTTTAGGTACAGGAAAGGCTATCAGAAAACATGAAAATTTCTCCTGGGAAACAATGTCTTATTCTTTAGGTACAGGGAAGGCTATCAGAAAACATGAAAATTTCTCCTGGGAAACAATGTCTTATTCTGTAGGTACAGGGAAGGCTATCAGAAAACATGAAAATTTCTCTATAAAACAATGCTTTAATTCTCAGGCATAGCAAAGGTTACCACTATATTAAGATCCATTTGTAGGTTTTACTCATTGGTGTATTGGTGTGAATGATGTACATCATTATCAATATTCTCAAAACATCATCAGCTGTATCAGTGTTTAGAAGACATTCTAGTGCACTAGAGCACTAAAGCCATTTTGTAAGGTTGTAAGACTGAAAATACATTAAATCAAATCACCCTGGTAACCAGAAAAGGTATAAAGTGATATTAAACTTTTACTGTTTGATGACTGAATGAGAGGTAAGTAAGTGTATGTTAATGTGAATACAAGGGACCTTACTATATTATCTGTGATGGAAATAGGTGTTGTGATCACAAATACCTATGATATACATATATAGTAATTGATCTGGAGACTGATTGTTGATGAATAACTGAATCCACAATGATTACTGTAAATAGGTTGTACATTTCTGTACTAGTTTTTAGCAGTGGGTATCTGTTTTTCGTTATATTTATCATAAGTTACATGAGATCTTGCAGAAGTGACAGTGAAATGAGTGATGTTGTTTGGTATGTCTTGAGCACGAAGACCAGCGAATAGTACATTTCAATACAGTATAGATCTAAACTAACTAAAAGCTAAATTAACTTAACTTTATCATACAGCTGCACTTTTCTCTTGTTTGAGAAAAATCAAATTAATTAACAATCAGTTTCTGCTCTGATTTTCTAAGCTACCGGAACAACGTCATGACGTCATTTATTGTCGATTTCATGTCACTGTTGCTACACTAACACGTGTGTCTTGTATTGTTGATATATCCTAACACTTTGGTGCATTGTAATTTGAGAATCTTCTTCTCGTTTCTAACAGATCGCTTTATTTACGTAATATATGCATAATGTATTATTGTAAACGTGATATTCAATACTGCTTTAAGGCAAAACATCTAACTTCGCAACCCAGTGCTTCCTAATTATCTACACAGACATATGACCGGA